TGCTGTCAGTCCGCGCTCGCCCAGTCGGGGATTGTCGGATAGGTCCAAGGTGGTGAGGGCCGGGAAGGCGCGGAGCTGCGCGCAGGAAAAAGCAAGCGAGTGGGCTTGCGCAACGTTCAGTACCTTGAGGCCGGGCTTCAGCCACGGCTGCAGTTCGGCGAGCCAGGCACCTCCCGTTGCCCACGACACGTTCCGGAGACTGAGGGTGGAGAGCGCAGGCCCAGTGGCGTCCCGAGGCGGCGGCGGCGTGGCGCCGGTTACCTCCAGGTCCTGGAGCGTCAGTTCCTTGAGGCGGGAGTACCCCAGCGCACGCAAGAAGGCGGCCACAAGGGGAGCGGGAACCTGTGCGGAGGCCACTGTGAGGCGCCGCAAGCGCAGAGCCTTGACCATGTCGGCGTACTGCTTCGGGTCCGTGTCCGTGGCTTTTAGGAATTGTTGCAGGCTGCGGCCGCCGCCGTGGATCTCCACCTCGACGGCACTTACACACTGGAAGGCGCTGGACCACTCGGGCTCCGGATCCGTGAAGTTGCAGAAGCAGCGGAAATCCTCGTCGTCCACTTCGCAGGGCTCGAGTGCGGGCTCCGAGACGCACAGCGCTGGCGGCAGCAGGAGCAGCAGCAACAAGCAGAGCACCTAGGAAGAAAGCGGAGGTCAGGGCGGCGCCAGTCAGCCCCTGAGGTTCCTCGAGCAGCTCCCTTTCGGCCCCAAGACCTACACTCACCATGGTCGATTGCGGCTCCGAGCCTCTGCGTCCAGGCAGGCTCAGGGAAGGGCTCCGGCTTCCTTCCTACACAGCCGCACTCCCTGGTTTCTAGGCTCCACACGCGTATCTGTCCTCTTGGGCAGCCTGAGAGTTATGTAACCCTGGATGTCACTCTGTTCTTTTCTCTGTGAACCCTGGTCACTCTCCACCTGTCTGCCACCCAACTACTCCATGCAGTGTACCCTTCTGGGAAGTTTTGCAATGAGGGATGTTGCCAGGACTGGAACAGGAAGGATCATGTAGGGCATGTAGAGTGCAATGCCCCCAGCAGTGCCCTGATGAGTCAGACACCCCAGGCTTGTTTGCTAGCTTTGGGGAAAGAAAAATCCCTAGTGCTTCAGGCCAGAACTCTCACCTCCCCCTGCCTTTATCCCAGCGATTCAACCGGGGTAGTTTTTTAACTTTTCCCTAGTCTTGGTGGTTACTATTAACTTACCGACACCCAATCCAATCCCCTGAATACCCTCGGATATTTAACTAGATATGTTGCAGAGGAGATTGCAAACTTCATCTGTTGACTCCAAGGGATAGAGTGAAGTTCAAGAGGAAGTTGGTCTGAAGAACAACTCCCTTCCTTTTTTTTTTTTTTGCTGACTTGTTCTTTATTAAGAAAATAACAGCTTTATTTTTTCAAAGATTATTTATTTGTTTGTTTGAGAGAGTGAGAGAGAGAGAGAGAGAGTGGGGTGAGGAGCAGAGGGAGAGGGACAAGCAGACTCCTCACCCAGCACCCAGCCTGATGAAGGGCTGAATACCAGGATCCTGAGATCATGACCTGAGCCGAAACCAAGAGTGGGACACTCAGCCGACTGAGCCACTCAGGAGCCCCAGCTTTCTTTTTTAAAAAACATTTATTTATTCATTTCAGAAAGAGAGACAGAAAGAGAGAGTGCTCGAGCAGGGGTGGGGGGGCACAGGGAGAGGGAGAAGCAGACTCCCTGCTGAGTGAGGAGCCCCACGCAGGGCTCAATCCCAGGGCCCTGAGATCATGATCTGAGCCAAAATCAAGACAAGATTCTTAACTGACTGAACCACTCAGGCTTTAAAATAATAGCTTTCTTGGGCGCCTGGGTGGCTCAGTTGGTTAAGCGACTGCCTTCGGCTCAGGTCATGATCCTGGAGTCCTGGGATCGAGTCCCGCATCGGGCTCCCTGCTCGGCAGGGAGTCTGCTTCTCCCTCTGACCCTCCTCCCTCTCATGCTCTCTGTCTCTCATTCTCTCTCTCGCAAATAAATAAAATCTTTAAAAAATAAATAAATAAAATAATAGCTTTCTTAAAAGTAGAGGTGTTTAACAGAGACACATTGGCCAAGTAGCTCCATCTCTTGCAGTTTCCATTTCCTTGCCCTGAAATTGAGAAACAGGTATTTCTAACCTAGTTTTCCCCCTTGTGCCTAGCTCTCCCTTGCCCTTCCCCCTCCAACACAGATCCTATGTCCTGGGAAGGAAAGGCTGGACCTTTGTTGAATGAGGTTAATTAGTAACTCACCTGTTTTGCCAAGAAAAAAAAAAAAGCAAGTGTCCCAGAGGGTGAATAGGGGCTGTGCTTTTACAACCACCCTCACAGTTCTTCACCTGTAAATTCTGAGGCAAGAGCTATATTAAAGATGTTTGAATTCTCACTTCTCCTATTTTTTTTATAAATGGCTTCACATCTCATTCCAAACAAGGAGGTTTCATTAGACCTCACTGCTCCCTGTGTATCTTGTTGGGCATGCCCTGATATCCTGAGCCATGCCCCAAGGCCAGCCAAGCCAGGTCACTGGAAAATCCCCGAGGACCAAGAATGTGAGTATAGCTCAGTGTTAAATACACTGACTCTGTGGTCAGACAGCCAGGCTTGGAATCCCAGCTCTACCACTAAGGTTGTAATACTTGGGCAAGTTTCTGGGCCTCAGATTTCTGGGCTCCTGATTTGTAAAATGGATAAAATGGTAGTACTTGTCTATGACTACACAGCCACACCTATTAAGAGTAGTCCTGATTTTTATGTTCTTCATCAGTGCCTCTACATTCAGAAGACTCAGGCCACTGAAGCCTGCTCCTTAGCAAATCCCATTATTTTAAGGGAGGCACTCTGGATGACGACTGCAAGCAAAGAGGGGCAATAATGGTTCTGCAAGGATCCTCAACTCACACCTTGATTCAACAAATATCTATCATTTGTCTACCAAGTGTCAGGGCTGGTACAAAGCCCAGGGATGCAGACATGACCATCACACCATCCCTCGAGTACTCCAGGAGGTGGGGAAGGCAAACACAGATCCAGACTACAGTCCACAGGGAAGAGGACGCACAGAGGAAAGAAACTAAGCATTTGTGGGAGCAGTGGAGAAAGGAACAGCTAGCTCTGTATTAGAGAGGACATGGGGCTGTTTTTTACAGGGTTGACAGTGATGTTGGGCAGATAAATGCAAAACAAACAAACAAACAAACAAACAAAAAAAACAGGGTGAGCAGCTGTAACTGTCTGGCAGGCATTTTGCCTGGTGACTTGTCTTACCTTCCTCACCAGGGGAAACATGTAGGTGTTAGAAGCAGCCTGTCCCATGACAAAGGAGAGAAGATCCAGACTCTATTCCCAGCCAGAGCATCGTGCATAGCAGTTGCTCAGTAAATGGCTGTCCCAGAGATGGATGGATGCTAGGCCTGGAGAGATGTGGGGGCAGGATAATGGTCTGCAGATATTTAACTAGGTGGTTTGTGGAAGAGATTAAAGGCAATTGACTCCAAGAGGTGGAATTAAATTCTAGGGAAGGAAGTTGGTTTAAAAGTGCCAAATCCTAACCACTAGACTACCAGAGGAAGTTGACTTGAAGAACAGTTCCCTTTCTTGGATTTGTTCTTACTCGTACATTTCCCTAAATAATGGCTTTCTAAAAATTAGAGACCTCCAATAAAAATTATTTTTTAGATTTTATTTTATTTATTTGAGAGAGAGAGAGAGAGCACAAGCAGGGGGAGTGGGAGAGGGAGAAGCAGGCTCCCCACTGAGCAGGGAGCCCGATGTGGGGTTCGATCCCAGGATCCTGGGATCATGACCTGAGCCGAAGGGAGACGCTTAACCGACTGAGCCACACAGGCACCCCCTCCAATAAAAATTCTTAACTGCTACCAGGACTCCACTCTCTTGGAGCTGTGAAGGGGATTTAGGGAGGAGACAACATCAAACAATTACACTGTAACTTCATGACATTAAAAATGGTTATGAAGTATATGGTGCTATAGGCTCTCATGACAGGGACATAGGTCCAGTAGTTCTGAGTAGGGGACATTGGAATTGAGATCTCGATGGTGGTTTTAATTAAGGGAAGGGTGCTGGTTGGGTGGGGGGGGGGGGGGGTCAGTCAGAGACAGGGCTCTAGACAGGGCAACAGCCTGGCCAAAAGCCTGGAGGAGGAAAAAAGGAGGGCTTGTTTAGGGAACAAAGAGAAGATCCCAGGAGAGATGAATAAGGCGAGGTGCCCTTCCAGTGAAGACTGGAGAGTTATGCAGGGATTAGACCATGTAAAGCTTACTTTGCCACAATTCGGATTTCGAGGGTGAGGGACATGGTTTTTTAGTTCACCAGTGTTTCCCCAGTACGTAGTAGTTAGTGGTGCTCAAAATTTGGTTTAAGAATTACTTTATCCCCAAAATAATGCGATTCACTTTTATGCAGGACAGTGAAATAATTATATTTGTCTCATTTTCTTCATACGCGCATAATGGGGATAATTGTCGTTACGTAGAACATTCAATAAGGTAATGCAAATCCAGCGTTCATCAGTGGGAGCTGAGTTTTTGGTGAAATCTTCCTAGAACTCGGGGTAGTTTTGTTTTGTGTTTTTTTTTTTTTTAGAACTCGGGGTAGTTTTTTAATGTTCGTCTAGGGTGTGTTAGGTGTGGGGAGGTTGTATTTGTTGAACGGAAGGTGACGCACTGGCAGTCCGGATCGAGGTGGAGTTTCTTTCCTGGAATCGGGAAAGAAAAAGAATTGGAAAGGAGAAATACCAATCAGAAGCAAAGTGGGCGCTGCGACCCAGGCTCTCCGTTGCCCAGGTCCTACCCAGCCTCTAGCTTTCGCCCCGCCCCTCCCTGCCCTTGCCCGGCCCGCCAGTCCCTGCCCTTGCCCCGCCCCTCCGGCCCTTGCCCCACCCCATTCTACTCTCCCTTCGCCCCGCCCCTCCCTCGGTCCGCCCGCCTTCATTTTGCACTGTGCTCCGCCCACTCGCACCTCCTTTTCCGCCCTGCGCTGCGGCTGCGCGGTCCGTGCCGCCTTCTAGGCTCAGGGACCGGCTTCCTCGCTCTGGGCTCCTGGCGAGTTTTCTCCCGCTCCACCATGTGGAGCGGACGGCAGGGCCGCCTCAGGCCGGTGGGCTGCGTAGTGGAGGAGCTACGGTGCCGCCGGCGGGAGCGGGAGGCAGGTGCGGGAGGGCAAGGGAGACGGGAAGATGCCGGCGGGAGCACCGTAGCTCCTCCACTACCGTGGAGTGGGTGGTATGGCGGGTGGCATGGCGGTCGGGGATAGGATGAGGAGGCCCGCGGGTGGCAGACGGGATTCAAGGTGCTAGATGCCCCTCCTACGTTCAGCCGGCTCCTTTGCCCCCAGCACTGCGGAAGGCGCGGAGGGAGCAGCAGCTGGTCAGTAAGAGGCTGCTGAGAGACGACGTCCTGGAGGAAGTCGAAGGGGGATGTGTGGCCAAGATCCTCGGGGAAGCTGAGGTGAGGTGACCGGGTGCTCGGTGAGTTGTTCTACGCCGACTGGCGCCAAATTCCTTTTGAGCTCGGCGCCAAACCTGAACGCGGCCCCTTCAATACCTCCATCCATCCAGTGGGCGAAGCCAGAAACTGGGAAATCACCCTCGAGAACTCTGTCCCTCATCCCCACATCAATACATCAGGTCCTAGCCCTTTTTTCACCTCCTAAAGAGCTCTGGCGCCTTTACGATGGAGAACATCGCAGCTACCACTATCCTCTTCTCCGTGTACTCACAGTAGCCTTCTAACAGGTCATTTGCATCTTGCTTGCCGCCTTCAAGTTCATTCTCCATACATCAGTCAGATGTCTCTTAAAAATCCAAAATCTGGGGCGCCTGGGTGGCTTGGTTAAGGGTCTGATTCTTGGGTTTGGCTCAGGTCATGATCTCCGGGTGGTGAGATCCAGCCCCTCGTTGGGCTCCGTGGTCAGCATGGAGTCTCCTTGAGATTCTCTCCCTCTCCTTCTGTCCCTCTCCTCTGTGTGAACTCTCTCTCTTTCTCTCTAAAATAAATAAATCTTTGGGGCACCTGGGTGGCTCAGTCAGTTAGACGTCTGCCTTGGGCTGGGGTTGTGATCCCATGGTCCTGGGATCAGGTCCCATATCGGGCTCCCTGCTCAGCGGGGAGCCTGCTTCTCCCTATCCCTCTGCTACACCCCCTTCTTGTGCTATTTCTCTCTCTCTCAAATAAAATCTTAAAAATACATAAATCTTAAATAAAAATTCAAAATCCTTCCTTCCTAGATGAATGGTCTAACGTTTGCCTAGCTCCAACCTTGCCAGTTTACTCATCTTAGCCAAAATTCTCCCTTTTCAGTTCTTGAAAGAATATACTAGGCTCTTTCCTGTCTCAAGGCCTTTACATTTGCTACATCTAAAAGTGGGTCCCTTTTAGTATTGTCTTGACAGCCTGTTTGCAGAATATTAATCATACTGATTGTTTGCTTGTTTATCGTTTCTCCAACTAGACTTTAAATCCATGGGAATCTAGACCCTATCTTCTTTGTTGTCATTGAAAACTCAGATGCCCTATAGTATCTGACATATAGTAGATGGTCATTATTTATTGAATAAGTGAATGGCATGATTAGTTTTAGCTGATTTATTCATTCAGCAAGCATTGGGCATCCCCTTTGTTTATAATGTCTATGTTTACATATGTTGTTTACAGAAGCACTCATGCCTAGGTTATACCATTGGTTCATTGGTTCATTGTGTGCTTGCTTTATGCCAAGACACTGTGCTGGGGTCTGAGGTACACAAAGATGAGAGTCCCTTTCTGTGTGGTACTTGCAGCAGCCCAATGAAGAAGACAGGCATGCTTACCACCTGTCATGAAGGAAACATGAGGCACAATAGGAACCCCTAAGTCTGAAAGGAAGCCAGAAAGAACTTACTTCCCAAAGGCGGTAACAGGAACAGAAATCTGAAGGGAGCGGAGGACGTGGGGAGGGTATCCCAGGCAGAAGGAATAGATTGTGCAAAAGCTTGGAAGCATTAAAAGACAAGTCATGTTTTGCTGCGTGGTGTTGGGAGTATAGGTTGCATGGGGAGAATGGCTAGAGGAGTAGGTTGTGCCAGACTGAAAGATTTAAATGTTACCCTTGAAATAACTCTAAGAAGGCAGGAAATACGTTATTCCCATTTTTCAGGTGAAAAACTGAGGTTTAGGTTCCTTGTAAGTGGCAGGGCTGGTATTAAACCCAGTTCTGATTCCCTCTTCTGTCTACTCTACTGCAAGATTGATGCTTATTAGCCATATTAGCGTGAATGACAAGTTCTAGGGATGGTGGAACATTAGAGTGCTCACAGGTGAAGTGGGCAGAGTAGGACTCACACTTGCTTTCTGGCAACTTTGTGTTGCCATTGCTCCTCTCCCTGCCCTGCACTCCAGATCCAACAGTTCCTCCGGTTAGCGCAACGAGGGACAGAGGAAAAGGAGAGAGAGAGGGCTCTGGTCAGCCTTCGTCGAGGCTTGCAGCACCCTGAGACGCAGCAGACCTTCATCTGGTCAGTATGGGTGGTGAGTGGGGCCTGGGCCTCTGAGGGATGGACAGGAGTGTGGAGGGGATGGGCCAGAGGCTGAGCAGGGCTCTGGTACTCACTCATGTAGGCTGGAGGGCAGCATTCGGACCTTGGTCGGGCTTCTGACCAGCAGCCAAGCCCTGTTGCAGCTAGAGGCCGCTCGGTGCCTTCATGAGCTCTCTCATTCTGAGCAGTCTGCGGTGGCTGAGGCCTGCCTGCCAGCCACTTCATACCTTCTCACCTACCTCTCCGGTCACAGCTCAGACTTTATAGTAAGCCCTGCCCCTTCCTACCTTGTTTTTGGCTTGGATTTAAATATTGTGCTTTTGGGTCTAGTTTGAGCTGGCACATAGGGGGAAGAAGAAAATTTGTTTCCCCTGATGTCCATAGCCATACATATGCCCATCATCTTCCACTCCCTTTTGCCCAGAGCCTCAAGGGCAAGACTATTCATCCTCTGCACTCCCACCCCCACGCTAGCCTGAGACAGGCCATGCCCCGTGCTTTTGTTGTCCCACTCTCAGGAGCTCTGTCTGTATACACTGGGTAACCTGATTGTGGAGAGTGAGGCTGTGAGAAGGCAGCTCCTGCCACAGGGCATTGTTCCAGCTTTGGCTGCCTGCATCCAGGTGAGCACCCATCCATTTTCTCCCTCCTTGGGCAGCCCTCCCCTGTCTTCTCTCTACATGGCCCCCCTGCTTTGTTTAGGCAGCTCCAGCCTCTGCCCTGTGCTAAGGGGTTGAAAGTCACAGGAAATCTTATGACCCAGCTTCCAGAGTCAGATCTCTATCCTGTCTACTTCTAGTCTCCCCATCTGACTGTGCTGGAAGCCCTTGGATATGCCTTGTCCCAGCTCCTTCAGGCTAAGGAAGCTCCAGAGATGATCATCCCGTAAGTAAAACTGTCTGCAGATGTGGAGGCAGGTGTGACCTACTTGTTGATGTAGCCGCTGGACACCTGATTGAGTTTTGTTTCCAAAACTTGCACATTTTGGCTCGATGTGTCTGGCTGGGAAGAGCTTTGGATTTGGATACTTTCCCAGCTGCTGTTAGGGTTTGGGAAGAATGACTGACATCTTGCCTTCTGTGGTTCCAACTCACAACTCTCCTGTTGGCAGCTCTGTCTTGGGCTCCATTCTCCCCCAGCATATCCTGCGACTGTTGCAACCTGGCCCAAAGCTGAACCTTGGGGTCGCTGTGGAGTTTGCCTGGTGCCTGCACTACATCATCTGCAGGTAACACAGACCATTTGCAAAAGTGCCACAGACTTGCCCTGGGGCTCCCTTCTAGACATGGGTTTTTGAACTTCGGTTTCTAGAATTGCAGAGTTTTCTTCCTTCTTCTCTGCTTGGATCCCAGGAAACCCAGCAATCTAGGCCATTTGCCATCCTAAAGGTGGAGTTGACTGAGTAGTGACTACTTCCTTTTTATTGCCTAGCCAGGTCAACAATGCCCTGCTTATCCACCATGGGGGTCTGTCCACTCTGGGGCTGCTGCTGTTGGATGTGGCTGCGGCTGTCCAGAGAACTGAGGATGCAGGACTGGAGTTGGTAGGTGAAGAGGACAGGTCAAGATCTGGGCTACCTTTCTTCTTACTTTGCACCTCCTCCAGTACGTAGGTAACCCCTTCCTCCTTACACTGTACTCCCAACTTGTCTTTGCAGCTGGCATGCCCTGTGCTTCGGTGTCTAAGCAACTTGCTAACAGAAGCAGCAGTGGAGGTTGGGGGAGGGCCAAATCAGCTTGACGATGAGCGTGTTGTGGCGGCCTTATTTATCCTTCTGCAGTTCTTCCTTCAGAAACAGCCCAGCCTACTTCCTGAGGGCCTCTGGCTCCTTAACAACCTCACTGGTACGTACCATAATGTGCCTAGGCCTAGACCTTTAAATTCTGGGTATGCTTCCTCACTGCCTGGGCTGAGGTGGGTAGGATTGGGGCCGGGGTGGTGGGGGGGTGCAGGTTCAGGCCCGTTTGAGGGACTTCATCCTCACATTTTCCCTTCCAGCGAATAGTTCTAGTTTCTGTACCTCCTTGCTCTCCATGGATCTGATCGAGCCCCTCTTGCAGTTGCTGCCAGTTTCTAATGTGGTGAGCGTATTGGTAGGTATTGGGGTCACCTAAGTCCAGGATCTGATGGCCAAAGTAAAAACACTGGGAGCAGGCCTTTGCACTCAGAAGTACCCTTACCTGAGGAGTGGCAGGTGGTGTGGTATGGATGGCTTCAGGGCCAGACCAGTCTAGGTGTGAATCCCTAACTGTTTTACTAGTTACTAACCTTGGGCAGATCAGCTTATCACCTTGAACTTTAGTTTCCTCATGTATAATTTGAGAATAGCAGTGCTACCCGAGGGCAGCTGTGGAATTACAAAACATGCATTAAGTGTTTGGCACCGTACCTGACCATTTGATCAGCAGTCCATATATTTTAGCTCTATCATTAGTCTTCAGTTTTCATCCTTTGTGGGGACTGTATACATGTCTCTCTGCAGGTGCTCACAGTTCTGTGCAATGTGGCTGAGAAGGGTCCTGCTTACTGCCAACATCTGTGGCCAGGGCCCTTGCTCCCCTGCTTGATGGGCATGCTAGCCTCCTCTGATACTGAAGTAGTAGGCCAGAGTTTAGAGCTGCTGCAACTGCTGTTCCTCTATCGGCCAGAGGTGAGTTTTGGCCCTGGTACCCCTGTTCTGAGGCCTCTAGTCTCACCATGGCCCCTTTCCTTCCCATCCTATCTATAGTCACTTCTCTGGGCCTGGCAAGCCTATGTGGACTCCAGGTCAGAAATTCCTGCCTCTTGTTGGGAAGGCACTCTTCTGAATAGAGGTGGGCTAACCTGTAAGGCTGTGGGAATCAAGTGTTGGGTTACAGGGACCCAAGTGTTGAGTCCTTTTCTTTCCTGCCCTCAGGCTGTGGAGGCGTTTCTGCAGCAATCAGGGCTGCAGGTCCTAGAAAAGCATCAGGAGGCGGCACAGCTCCAGGATCGTGTGCATGCTCTCCAGAAGACAGCTCTTCACAGGTGACCTGGCTTCTCGATGCCACTCATTCAACTCATCACCTCCCCCCACCCCCTCAACTTCCTTGCTCCTGGATCCCCTTTTGAGGATTTAGAGCCATGACATTTCATGCTCTCTGCTCCTATGTTGGGGACAGAATAAAGTTTTATTTTTGTATTATACTGCTTTGCCTCAGTGGTTGCACGATGGGGTGGAGGGTAAAATGAGGACAAGAACATCCAGAGATGGCATTTTTCGGCACAAGCTTTATAAAGAACAGAAGAACACTTTTTTCACATTGTACTCAGTCCTACAGAGCCCAAGCTGTGGGGCTGTTGCTCGTAACAATAGTGGAGGCTTCAGGCTTTGCCACTTAGCACATTCTCCACAGCTCTGGTTACCTGATCAGCACTGAAGTTGTTCAAAGAGACATTCTTCTCTTGGCCAAATGCTGAGGAGAGAGAAAGGTGACTAAATATCTCGTATGTGGGGCTACCAAAATATTAATAAAAGGTCTTGTCTTCAAATTACAGTCTTGTTAGGATGAGAAAAGTAGTATAGAAATATGACCAAGGTGTATTTGGGATACCTAGAATTTATCCAGGGGTTCTCAAACACATCTAGGGAGCCCAGGTCCAACTAGAATTTTGGCTTATTCTGGGTGGTCACGATGGGAAGGAAGATGTTTCAGAGAGTTTTTAGGGGCCTGGTAAGGTATTTATTATTAGCCACTACGAACAGTGCTTTGCATGGGCCTAGCCTTGGCTGGGTGCCAATTCTGTGGCTTCTATAGTTCTAGTATAATACACTAAAGTAATTTGTGTCCATCTCCTCCTCTAGTCTACTGGCTTTTTTCCTCCTCCAAACAATTTTTAATGCATACTGCAGCTATCCACTGTTAGAACCAGTCTACCTTAGGTATGACTTTTTTTTTTTTTTTTTAAGATTTTATTTTATTTATTTATTTGAGAGAGAGCACAAGAAGGGGTAGGGTCAGAGGGAGAAGCAGACTCCCTGCCGAGCAGGGAGCCCAATGCGGGACTCGATCCTGGGATTCCGGGATCATGACCTGAGCGGAAGGCTGTGGCTTAACCAACTGAGCCACCCGGGCGCCCAGATATGACTTATTTTCTCCCTGCCCCGACATTTCTAGAGGAAGGTCTATGTGTCAAGCAACATGACCATAATTTTCAGATTGTGGTAAACTTAGAGAATATGATAAAATGGAGCTAAGCGCAATGTTACATAATTTGCCAGGGAATGCCTTATTAAGGAGGTGCTATATGATTTCAGACCTGAATAACAACAAGGTGAATTCTAACCAGCTAGCCATGAAAATCTGGTAGAAGTGCATCCTAGAAAGGGGAGACAGGTGTAAAGGCTAAACCCTGTTGTATCCTACTACATAATCTTAGGTATGTTCCATAAAAAAATTTTTTTTTGGTAAGCTCTATGCCCAACATGGGGCTTGAACTCATGACCGGGAGATCAAGAGTTGTATGCTCTACTGATTGAACTAGCCCGTGCCCCTGTTCCATAAAATTTTTGATTCACCTTTCTAACCTTTACTATGAGAAAACAAAGAATCCACCCCCTCATATAATTAATGAAGATTAAATGAGATGTAGGCAAGGAAGTACTCAACGCAGATCTTAGCATTAAGTGCTCAACAGTCATTATCATATGCTTGTATTATTGAAAATTCTCACACTACCTGAAATGGCACTACCCACATGTCATGTGTAAGGACCCACTTCGATGGGAATTGACGAGCATCTCTTTCCCATCTGAACCCTGTTCTGAATTATGAAACCGACAGCTCCTGGTCCCTACGCACATGGGTATTACTCGAGACACCAGCATTCTATAACCCCGCGAATGTAAGTTTATCCGAAACAACGTCCACAGCAAGGCCGAAGTCCGAGTTCCAGTCTCCCTACAGGTTTCTGTGTGACCCTGGATGGCCCTTTCTCTCCTCCAACCCTTGTTTTCCTACTGGGGTCCCAGACCGCCCGCTTCCCCGCTCACCGTAGCGGGCCCAGAGTTTGGGCTGCACATCAGAACACTCGCGGATTAGGATGGGCAGGCCAGGGTTCGCCTTCTTCAGCTCCACATAGTGTTTCTCGATGAATTCCCTATGGGGCGGGAGAGAAAGCCGTGCGTGCTGTCTACGCGCCGGCCTCCCCAAACACCCGGGAGGCAGAGGTCATGACCTGGGCACCCTGAAGCCTACCGGCCCTACCACCTTGCGCCTCACCTGACGCCCTGGCTGCCGGGCGAGCGCTGGCACAAGTGGACGCGAATCTCACGTAGGCCAAGTTTGGCCCCGATCCCGCGACTCACTGCGGCAGCCGCCATCTCCGCTGGTGTCTTACTCCCCGCCCCAGGACTTCCGGCCAAGTTCTCCAAGCCGACCAATCGCGGCCCCCCCTGTTCCCGCGATAGTTGGATGACGTGAAGGGGCGGGGTAAAGTTTAGCCAATGCCTTAAAAGCATTGCAGAGGGAGCGGTCCTTTTTTTTTCCTTTTCTCCGTGAGCGGGCGGTAGCCGACTGGCTACGGAGCGCAAAGCACTGTGGGCTTGTTCCTGAGGTGCATCGTGGGAAAAATCTTGTCTCGGCTGTGTTGTCTTTGGAGCGTCAGTCCCTGCGGGCGTTGAAACACCGCAGACAAAATGCCAGAGCGAGACAGTAAGGCCCGGGTCATTTGTCCTTTATTATCTGCAGGACTTGGGACACTTGGCGCGTTGTTTTTGCTTCAGAGTTTAAGCTCTGTGTGGGTGGTGTGATGCCTTAATCTGGCGAAGCCATTTGGTCTCGAATGAAGCCGGGCAGCTCCGGACCATTGTCTCTAAGCTTTGTTCTTGCCCCAAGTGACGCCGCGTGTGTTTTGTCTGTGAACTCCCCCTTACCGCCAGCACTTAATCTTGGGTTGCGCCAGTTTATCTTCCTCCCAGTATCTTGGATGTCATTTTCCGGAAGTATTTGCTGATCCTCCAGCGCCGGTTTAGGGGCCCCCTCTCTGCACCAACAGCTCCTTGTATTTTTTCACTTGGGCACTTATTACTTTGTACGGTCACTGTCGCTGTTTCTGCCTTGTCACTAGAATATGAGCAGTTTGACGTGAAAACGTCAGTATTGTTCGCTAATATAGTCCCAACTTTTGCACAGGAACTGACACGAAGAGATTGATTAAATTAATGCCAATTCTTTTTTTTCTTTTTTTTTTTTTTTAAGGCGAGCCTTTCTCCAACCCTTTGGCTCCAGATGGCCACGATGTGGATGATCCTCACTCCTTCCACCAGTGAGTATTTCAGTGTAGGACTACGGGCATGAACTGGGAGATGAATAGAGTGGTGTGGGAATGGTGAAGGAATTCTAAATGTCTTGTCAACAAGGATGGTGAAAAAAAATTGTACCCCTTGCACCTTTATCTCTAAACTTTAGCTGGATTAGGTCAACTGCATAAGAGTATTAGAGGGGAAGTTCTGGATGGGAGGGTGCTAGTTTTTTTTTTTTTTTTTTAAGATTTTTATTTATTTATTTGACAGAGAGAGAGATAGTGAGAGCAGGAACACAAGCAGGGGGAGTGGGAGAGGGAGAAGCAGGCTTCCCGCCGAGCAGGGAGCCCGATGTGGGACTCGATCCCAGGACCCTGGGATCATGACCTGAGCCGAAGGCAGACGCCCAACGACTGAGCCACCCAGGCGCCCGGGAGGGTGCTAGTTTTTAATGTTTAATTATACATGATACAGGAATTGATTCTTGTAGAAAATTAAAGTAGAAGTAAGGGTAATGTTCTTTTTTGATAACATCCCCAATTCCAGTCCCTTTCTTAGAGGTAACCACTGTTCCTTCTTTACATGTGTCTTTTTTCCCTACTTTTTAAAAAATCCATTTATATACATACACGTATGTCTGAGGAAGATATGTGATTATTTTGTAAGTTGAAGTATTAAAATTAAATGGCATTGTATTATATACTTATATCGTTTTGCCACTTGCTTATTTTCCCCACTCATTGTCTTGGAGATTATTTTCATGGTAGGGCAAGGACTCCCTCCTTTTTTTTTTTTTTTAATATTTATTTCAGAGAGAGAGAAAAGTTAAGAGTGCGTGAGCAGTGGGGAGGGGCAGAGAGAGAGGGGAAGTAGACTCCCCACTGAGAGGAGCCTGGTGCAGGCTTGATGTGCTGCACCTTGATCTCTGGACCTGGAGATCACCACCTGAGCCAAAACCAAGAGTCAGACACTCAACTGACTGAGTCACCCAGGTACCCCAAGGACCTCTTCCTTGATTAGACTTTCATCGGGCTTCTCTGGGGTCCATTTTTCACTAGGCCTGTTGGGTTCAGTTTTAGCAAAGAATGCTCCTAAGCCATTTTATGGAGAGTCCCCTTAAGTAATCAAGTAGATCAGTCAAGCTCCTTTTTCCCCACCCTTGATGGCTAACCAGGTTCCTCTTAGTAATTTTTTTATAAATCCCCAGTTGTCCCAGTTTGTTTTCAGAGTTGAGTTTCAATCCTTCTTCCCTTTTGCAGTAGTCTCTATTCCTATTACAGTAATCTTGAACAGTGTCTTCCTTGGAACACTTAGCAGGATTCTTTGCTAAAACTGGGCACAGCAGGCCAAGGAAGAGACTCAGTCAGAAGAGGGCTCAAAGGGGCCTGACTAAAGTTAGGTCAAAGAGTGAGTCTTTGTCACTGTATTGCTTAAAATTATCTCTTGTACCATCATTGCTGTCTGCCACACATTTGGGAAACACTGTCACAATCTAGTCTCTAGTTAATGGACATTTAGGTTGTTTCCAAATTTTTATTACTTTCAAAGCTGAAATTGAGGGGTGCCTGGGTGGCTCAGTCAGTTAGGCATCTGCCTTTGGCTCAGGTCATGATCCTAGGGTCCTGGGATCAAGCCCCACGTTGGGCTCTTTGCTCAGTGGAGAGCCTGCTTCTCCCTGTCCCTCTGCTGCTCTTCCTGCTTGTGCACTCTCTCTCTCTCTGTCAAATAAGTAAATAAAATCTTAAAA